AGCACTCATTTTTGCATTCTAATATCGTTTTCAGAAAAATGCGATATTTCCGAATTCATGAAAAGGATAAGTAAGCGAATGAGGAGGATGAGGATTTTTATTTTAACCTTATTTTTTCGGCAAATTTGCACTTTTGCAGAAACAGTGATTATATATTGACAGATAATATAATTATAATATTCTCTCTCTTGATTACACAGGCACACAAAAAAAAATGTGCGGAGCCAAAAAAGCGACCTATATAGCATTGTCGAGCATAGTCGAAATCCAAATTTTTGGAATTTTCTGCTTACCAGTTTTTTTTTTATTTGACCTTGAATTTTGGGTTTAGGTTGAATTCTTCCAAGTTGGCTACTAAACATCTAAAATCGTTTTTTTGAGCTGTAAAGTGGATTTTGTTATAGCTTTTATGGTAAAAAAGATTTTCCCGAGTTTCGGTCGCGAAAAAAATTTTTTCGCAAAAGTTATTAACAATAAAAGTATAATGTTACAACACGATTAACATTTTTCTCGTAAACGGCTAAACGGATTTTAACAATTCTGACGTCAATTTTTTTTATTTATAAACGTACATTCTAGAAATATGCTTTTGGATATACAAACATCGAGTTTGTTTATAAAAATATTAATTGTTTATAAACAAATTAAAATTTGTCTACCTAAAAAAATTTTTTTACTGCACGTCGTTCTACATTTTTCCTGGAGAGAAATGCTAAAAAAAATACTATGTACATAATTCCTATCATTACACCTCACATAAATTTTTCAGTGTGACACGAGCACTCAGAACATGTGCGTCAGTCTTTTCAAAAGGATAGTTATTTTCCTCTTGAAACACTAATTTGGAAGTAGATACACATGTATATTGAATTATATAGCTTTGATATTCATATATATAAAAGCTATATAATTCAATATACATGTGTATCGTCTACAAATTATACAACATGTATTAGAATACAATTTTATTTATACACTTCTATTGAAATAAACAAGGATTAATTAAAACTGTTACTAAATAATTCTGCGAAAATTCAATAAATGTATAAAAGATGTTATTGCATGCATTTTTCCGTTTCTTTACTAGTTTCTATAATTAACTAGTGACTCAAATGGTATGCGTCGTGCGAGTTTAACTTTGAAATTATAACGTACTTTTCCTGATAAACGAAATTTGCACATACTGCAGTTACAATTGTCATCGTCACACACACACACACACACAATTATTTCTATAAAAGCGTTTTTAAACTAGCCTTTTTTTTGTACATCAAAACTCTTAAATTATAAATATTGCATTGTGTGTGCGTTTATATAATTAAATTTTTACTTTTTAAATAATTAAAACAAAAAAAATTTTTGCTTTTTTGCTATGTACATATATAATTTTTGCTATAATTTATGTAAAATCTTATATAATTGCACCTGTGCAGCTGTGATTTGTTATTACCATATTTTGACTCTTTTACAATTACGTATTGACAGCCGTCACATTCTACATTGTTTATATAAGACATACCTGTCATGTCAGCAAAAGATCTTCTTTCGACAAGATTTCTGATTACACATATGTAACTAATCCTCTCTTACTCACGCGAAAAAGTTTGTTATAAAATTCTTTATTTCTTTTAGAATGCGAAAGTTACTAACTAGACTATAAAGAAATCAATTTATTTTAGAAAATATATAATTATTTAATTATAATAATGAATTATGTACCTTTTTAAGTATATTAGAAGATATTTATTCAATATCTTATAATATGCATGTAACACAGATGTAGCAAAAGATAATTTACATGAAAATTAGATAATAATTCTAATTAGTTGCTCTCGGATATTAACTTTAGCTTCCCATACTGGAGACACTGGAGGGCCTGTAACACCAGGTAAAATTCTCTAGTTTGCTACTTCGAGAATTTACCTTTTTTTTACAAGCAAATATTTTCCAAATTACTGTCTTTTTCATATTTTCTTATTCATAGGCATATTCCTTGATGTCTGGTGTATCGATGGAAAAAAAGTGACTTAAAATCAGTTGATTTTTTCATATAGTTTTAGCTAAATATACGACGTGGGATAGCTTGTACCTCAGGGTGGGAAGCCCGTAAAAATTTGGAAGTGTGTGAAGCTAGGGTTAATATGTAGGGGAGACCGGGGCAAAGTCGTCACTACGTTTTCGGTGCCATTTTTTAACAACAAAACAAATAATTTTAGTAAAATATGGTATACCGTTGTAAAGAGTGAACCCTTGACTACAAAATTTATACGGACATTTTTGGTCTACGTCGCTTTGTTCAACTGATATACGAGTGAAAACAACAAAGGTGCAAAAGTTGAAATGTCAAAATTGCCGGGGTCGGAGTCGTCACTCCATTCTCAGACTAAATTTTAAATGAAAATTCATAATTCCGATCATGAAAAATGATAGGATACGTTTTATTAATTATTTTTTAATAAAAAAATGGAAACATTAATTAAAAACACGATGGCGGAAAATAATTACAAGAAAAGCGCACACACTTATGTGCCCTATGCTTATCGTCAGCTCTATTCTGTCATCTCTGAGCACACGCAGCACATGGCATATTATCCAAGTTCTCGCCGGAATCCGACCACTGCTGCTTCTTTGACTTTGATTTTCGCCGGAAGCCTCCATGATATGACTTGGTGACGACTTCGCCCCGGATACAAGTTTCAAATTTGGTCGCTTATAAAATATTAGAAATCAATAAAAATAAAAAAACTTCACTGGATTCGTGTTCAGCATACATTACTCTTTAGAATCACTTATAATATTTAAGATATTACAAATTTACGCGCAAAATATTTTACTTTCAACCTCCGAAAACACGTTTGCCTCGATAAGAATCACAACATGGCACATAACCTCACTAAACTCCGTTGGTCACGTGGGCACCATAAGCCGCGTTTACAGTATTAATGGCGAGTTCACACAACATACAGATTTCGAGATAATTGCAATGACGACTCTGCCCCGGTGACGACTTCGCCCCGGTCTCCCCTATAGTTCCAGATTATACAAATTATGTTATTATTAACAAAATACTTTGACGAACAAAAAAATGTAAAAACTTTTTATTGTGCGTAAATTGCTTTTTTATGACGTTAAAGTTATCGCACGATTTACGCAAAAGTCTGTGTTGGCATGTTAAGCTCGCGTCGTGTCGTTCCTCTTAAGGAAATCAGCGTATTCATGCCAACTCGTTAAAAAGATGTTAAAAAAAGACGCATCCACCGCTTATATCATTCCAACGTCGTGCAGCAGTGGATTTGATTATCAGCCTGGCACACACCTGGCAGTAAACTGTTGTTAGCGTAACACAATGCCGTTAGCAATACAACCCGTGTTGTCTTAGATATTTTTTATGTATTTAAAAGTCGTTGATACATAGACACATAACAATAAATAATGTATTTATTTGTTTTAAAACAATCTTCAATATTTTGAAGATTTCAATATTTTACTATTGAAACTAGTATCTGATATCTTTTAAATTAAAAACAGAGATTTTTATGAAGTAAAACATTTTGTATATAGAAAAGTATACGAATTAAAAATGGTTTGGCAGAGGTTGATTGATGGAAATTTTGTATCCATTTGCAATTTTAAAAAAATTGGAGCATCTCTTTCAATCTATTTTAAATAACAATAGAATCACTAATAGACACATATCTGACGTTAAATTCGTTTTCTTTTCATTCTACTGAATATTTTTATATTTTTTATTCTTGGAATATATAAATACATTTGCACTTTAGAAAAAGGAACAAAATAGATTGTTAGATATGGTTCAGAAAGACAAGCAATCCATTGTCTAACATTAGCTACGACATTTTTTGTTCAATGTACATGCAAATTCATAAATCATTGCTTCCTTGACGATAGATTAAGCGTGATAAACGAAGCGTGAAACCCCGCACATGTAGCAAAGTGTTTGCGATATCGTTTGCGAGCAAACGAGATAATCATTGATTTAACTACTTATCAATTATCGATTACTACTACTTGTTGAACAGAAAAATTGATATTAATCGTAGATAAGAAAATACCGATGTAATTGCTGTGGTAAGTTTCATCCTTTTTTAAAATAATATAGCACATCATACAACAATATTCGTAATTTGAATCAGTACGATGATAACTGCTTCTAAAATTTTTGATTGGTCACCTGCATTAAAGAATTTTTTGTATAATTTTTATATATTAAAAATACAAAGAAATACACGTATAAATGCATATACATCTACATATATTTTTAGAAAACTTTATCTTAATCAAAATTAAATTTTATAATAATGTGATATCACACATTCAACTTTTATCTTCAAGTTTTTGATCGGTTATTAACTGTTAACTCAATGAAAAAACAATTCTGGAATCGAGCAAATTATATCTATGAAGTTTGTCACTGTAATACGTACTATTAAAAAACTATATTTATTATTAAAATAATTTTATACAAAACAAAAATATAGATAGAATATATTAAATATATTATATACGTATGTACAATGCGTATACAAATATAATTTATCTATGTTACCGTAAAAAAATGATAAGAACAACATGAATAACAAAAATTATCTCGATAAGAAGTAATTACGATTGCTCAAATCGATAAGTGGCTTTTTCAGAAACACTGCACATTTTTTCGCCGATATATTTCTTCTTCGGAAATTTGTAAACACGGTTTAGTTATTTAGTTTATACTTCGTCAGTAATAAAACATGACTGTAAAGTGTGACTGTAAAGTGTTCTTCAAAAGATTCCAGCGCAGAAAGACCAGTGTTGCATCACTTCGGCCAGCACCTCTTGTTAGAAACAACAATAGCAAATAACAATAACTCGACGAGAAGAGCAGCCCAGATGATCTATTGACTATTCGCGGATCCTGCACTTCCTTCTAGTATATAAATTTCAAAGCAAGGGTGCCTTCAGCATAGACGTATATCTTTGCCGTCAATGTAAACACCAAGCCAACGTCATCGGCCGCATTGACAGTTCCTCGCGATCTATATAAATGTCGGAACCACTGAAAAAGGTAGTAGTCGCTCGCGGAATTCGATCGGCCATCCTTCAGCGACTCGCTCCGATAACGATAATTGAACCGAACCGTCTTCGTCGCAATTTTCGTTCCGCGAACGACTCTTTCGTAAAATAAAATAAAATTTGTCGCGCAAGTACATACGCGTTTCCAAGGACAGACGAAGTTCAACGGACGATTTTCCGAAGTGGAAACTTGGCTAATTGAAGCGTGGTATTATTAATACTGAAATACTCTCTTTCGAAAGACTCTTACGTGAATTTAAAAATAGTGACAAAAATAACAAGGTGAGTTGGCTTCCGCTTTTTAACACACAGCTACATGTTATTTTTATGTTTGCGATGAATAGCTTTCTTCATTATGTTTGACTCTTTCCCTCTTTCTCTTCCGAGACCTCCTGTTTCACATAATTTCTTTCAAGTCTCATTGTTCGCGTTCTAAGTTTGCATTATATGTGTGTTCCACACACGTATCGTCCGTGCACAAAGCTTACTTCTTTTCGCGCCACTCTGTACGCATTAAGAGGCGTCAAAGGATTTCGAAATGCGAGCGAACTACCGCGGTGACCTTCACCCACGCGTCTTCTCATCTCGCGTCATGGACATATTCCGCCCGTGGCATTCTGGCGATGAAAATCGCGCTCATTTCTCTTGAAAGCTCATTTCTTTTATCCTCTTTTCCTTCCTCCTTTCCTTTTTCCCTCGTTTCCTACCCGCGAGCACGGTCGAGGTTTACGAAACCGCGCACGCAGTCGCCCACGCGGACTCAAAAAATCGATGCGCGCACGTTCTCGCGTGCCTCGCGGACACGCATGCGGCATTGCAGTTCTATTAACCCTTCGAATATATCTTCACGTTAATTGAAACAATTTTAGATGGCCGACCGTATAGCAATTTGTTTAAAATGTTACGTCGTGTGGCCTCGCGCATTCGGAACTGCGCGTGTGCGTGTGTGTCACACACGTTCGCAGGCCGCGTAAGCGGATCGTGGAAAGGGAAGTTCGACGCATGCTTCCTTCCTTAATGTCTCGAGGGGTTTTGATCCACGAGGGGTTCAAATTTTCGCGACGCTCAGTGCCTCGTGTCAGATTCTCGCGGATCGCTTCGGCAATAGTGTGAATGCAAGTCGCGAGTGATTGTTAAAATTTCCATCCTCGTAATCTTACAGCCGAATTTCACGTCGTGAGTATCGGATTGAAATTTTCTTCTGTGGATTGAAATATGTTTTATCGTAGCGATTTTATCGTCGACTTTTGCCTTAACTCCGTAATTCTAATTATTTCATAATCGCTCGATTATAATTCATCGTAAAACATGATCAACATCCCAATCAACATCAAGTAGATTGAATTTAGATTTTGCGTCGATCGCTTAAATACATTTATCTCGGAATCTGTGTTAATTTCAATTCCTTTCATCGTAATGGCGCGTAATTGACAAATTCTATTTAAATCACAATCAATTTTGTATAAAATTTAAATTATGCACGCGCGCGTTAATTACATTTTTAAGTTGTGAAAAATGTATTGAGTTATATATATTTTATTTTATTCAAATAGTTTTTATAGAGCTTTTAATAAGTTTAAAATTTTTTGTTTTGAGATTAAATTTTCTTTTGTTTCCATGTTAGCAGTAAAGTAATCTTTTATAATTTATTTTCTATTATAATTTATATTATTAATTTTGTGTAAATAATTACCATCACTTTTTTCACGGTTTACGGTCAAAACACTGTAAATCCAAGTGTGTTATTTCTACACTCATAAAAATGACACATTTGACTGAAGCTCGTTTTACATGTTTCGTTGCATGTTAAATTACATTATTTACACGTAATTTAACTCGTTTAATTGTATTAAATTAAAAGTTAATACGTTCAATCGTGTTGAATGATGTGATTTAAAACGGCAAGAAATGTGAAAGAAGATCGAGTTTCAGTTAAAATAACATACTTGGGGATTTGCAGTGAACATCTTCCATATTTAATTACTTCTGATTTTGCCTTATTTATTACAAAATATATCGATTAAAATATTTTTAATAAAAGAATTTTATATTTTCTTCAGCTAAGTGGACTGTTTTATCTATATCGATTGTGTTTTACTGATTTCACTATTTTATAAAATATGTAAAAATAATTAAAAATAATTGAGCGATTAAATGATTTTCTTATTACATAAAGAGATTGAATTTTCGAACGTATACTATATTTTATTACATAAGATATAAAGTATAAGTTTAAGAATACAAATTGGAACAATTTAATTTTAATTTAATATAAATATAATTTTGCAAAATTTATAGTATATTTTAAATTGTGATGTATGCAATTAAACCTTATTTTGTTAATTGTTAATTCTTGTTAGTTAATCAATTTAACCTAAACAAGAATAAATTAAATAAAAGTATATAGTATATAAGGATTTTGTGCGAAAAAAAGGATTACGAATTTCTCTTGTGTTCTCAAAATTATTATATTTCGAATAAAATTTATTAGTGAGAAATGTGTCATAAACAACATGTACGCGTTAGTGAAAACGTGTCATTGTTTGAAAGCTATTATCTTTCAAATAGATTGATTTAATCGGCCAGAGAAAGGATGCAAACTGACGTATTATTTTGATCGATTATCTGTTCGCGATTCGCCTGTCGCGTAAGCCGTGATAAATCGAAGTCTTGTTCTGAGCCAAGTTGATAAGGGGAGCGACCGTCAATGGGAGGCACACGTTGAAGGGCATCTCTGTGTCACTGTAATAGATCGACAACGAAGACCGCGAGAAAGTAAAGACCGAGACAGGCAGCACCGAGAAACCGTTTCGTAGATTTATTTGTTTTGGCATTGTCGGACGCATGCATTTGCAAGCTGCAAACGGTGGCAATCGACGCAAATGAATCGTTATTCCGTGCTATGGGCGTTCGTTATCGATTTCGAGTTATCAGTTGATCGTGCGCTTTCCATTTCGTTGACCCGTAATTACTGATGCGGTGCAGCGAATCAAAAGAAGAAATCGCACAGGGGACAGAAATTATATCGAGATTTTCTTCAAATATTTTCTTACATTCGTTTTACCCTGCTATAAAAATTCCTTTCTATATTTTTCAATCATTTTCCTTTCTGTCTTTCTTTATAATTTTCTCTTGTTTTTTGCAAAACATAGTTTGACAAATGATAATATATACACAATTATATCTAAATTATATTTAAATTATAATATTTAAATTGTATTTAAATTATACAATATTATAATTATATTATAATTATATTTAAATTTGTCAAAGTTTATTCTTTTCTTTTGATTTTATATAAATCTAAATAAATTATAATATAGAAAAAAATTAAAATTGAATTATTTGTGCTAAGTATATAAAACATTGATATTTATAATATTGTGGTTAAGAGCATCTAAATATCTAAAATATCAAGTATTTAAGAAAGTAGGAAATAGTTTTTGTTTTTCTTCTTTAATTTAAATTGGGCTTAATATCATCAAAGAAATTTAATCTTTTATTTAAATGTTTAAATATTTAATATTAATGTTTATAGACCATTATTATAAGTAGCTGCTTTAAAATTTTATTTTTAGGTTAAAATTGATTTTAGATTCATCAGTAAAAGAATAATTTTTTAATAAGATTTTATATATTAAGAGAACAATAATTATTGTTTAAAAAAATTTAAATTTTGAAAAAATTAAAGCTGTTAGATTTATCATCTTTCATGGCATCGATCTTCGACAAATTCAAATGCGTAGAACTCTATTTTATTAAAATTCAAACTGTAAATCAAAATTAAACTAAATATTCTTGAAATAGTTCTAGTAAAAGCTTCTAGTAAGCTTAAATAATAACATTTCCTTTTTCGATTAAGATATTTTTTCACATTATTCTATTACATTATTTCACGTTATCGCGTAGATATATGCGAGACGTGCGTATCTGACATCAGTAAACATGGAATACATCTTTGATAGATTCTCTTAAAAACTTTTTCTTATTAAATTACTTGCTTCTTGGATCTCATAGAAAATATTGACCATCAAAGTACCGATATTACATCAACGAACCAAGTGCGTGATTTGTTTAGAATTAATTAATATATCTATAAATATTCCAAATTTCTCAAAAAATATTAAAAAGAGAAAGAAACTAAAGATATCGATATAATCCGTTTAGTTTTAAGAACACATTACATAATTGCATTGGTTTCTTTATTTTTATTATCACAAATAGAAACTTTTTTGTAAAAATAATGCTTCTACCTTCTACCAATAAATGACAAAAAATTGGTATTTTAACAACAAATTGTATTATACATCGCTATTATTTTCTCAGATAATTCTTACGAAAAATTGCTCGTAAATTTACTTACTACATTGCCAATAAATCTCTAAACTTGCAAGACGTTGAACTGCATGAAGATTGAAAATTTTGGGAATGTGGCCAAATAATCACTCGAAAATTTGCGTGTCGCAAAACGCAGTCATATTACTATTTATAAATCTGTAAAGAGGAAAGAGTGTGGATGGGAATGAGACTGCTAATATTCTTTGTGCATCTGATGTACGAACATACTTATTCACAAACATAAGAAAATCTTTAAACATAGATTCCAATAGTATCTTATCTTATTTTTAGGGCTTTCCTGGAGATAGTTCAGGTGACTTGAAAGGTGAATTATGTGAGCATGACCGGCCACTATAATTAATTAAAGTGTAAAAGAGTCGTACATACTGCAGACATTTGATCCATTTCTGACTCATTGCTGGCAAATGTTCGTAGAATTTTCTGCGAAGTACTTCCATGCGTGGCCTTAATTGCCCTTAGTTCTCGTTATCACTCCGTGAGACCTTCCAATCAATACCGAATCACATGTTGTCTTCCAAAAATTGCAACTTACGCAATATTGGAGAGGCTATTTTATTACGCGCCATGCCATGCCTAAATGATATAATTATACAACCCGTAGAACGTATACATATACATCGGAATAAATTGTTAATGTATATTTATTGTCTTTTTTTTACAATTGTTATCGTCTAGCTGTTTAATCACCTTATAACTTGACTATTCATGCGAGAACAAAATGGCTTGCGCAATGTGCAAGAATAGTTGAAAAGTAAATAAAACATTGCTAGAAAAATGTGTTTTTCAGACAAGGCAAGATGGAGAATCGTTTTCAGGGCAAAGCACCGGAAGACGATGTAATTGGGCAATTACAGCAAAATAATAAGAGACCCTCAATGTCTCTAAATATGGGCGGATTATGGGATGTAGTTCCACGATTGGATCATTACAGGTATACTTTATTAAGTTAATTAAAGTACACTTCAGAGTGTATCACGTTAATTACTATCAAATTAATTACATACGTACACTGTTTTCAATTGTCACGTTAAGCTTTGTTGCGTAAAATTGGTTTAAAGAAGAAAAAAAAACTCTTAATTGTTACAAAATTTGCTATATAAAATTTATCATATTTCGGTCTATCGGCCCATTTACATCGATGCGATTACATAACGATGTTTTCCACGTTTTGTTCGTTTAAGCATTATATTGGAAAATTATTAATCTTTTTTCGCACGTTCACGTTACACGTTCTCGATATAAAAAAAGCAGTAACATTTTTTGTACGTATATCCGAAAAGGAATTATTCAGTTTGGCGAATACGCGACTGGCTAAAATAATAGTTTTATCGTTACAATATCACTAATCTCTTTTATAGATTAAGTCGTCGCGCGAAAAGGCCATCTCTGAGCACTTTGCATGAAGGAAATCTTATAAAGGTAAGGAAACTTATATATTACAGTATACTTTAGAAGATTATAGTATCGAAACTTCAGACATTAATTTAAAAATTTGATAATATATCATTTTATTTTAAATAAAATATGATATATTTAAATATAAAACACAGAGTTAATTAATAGATATTAAATTAGCGAAACTGAGGCAGGTAAATAAAATTAAGAAATTTTTAATACACCTATATACTATCTGTTGTTTATAAATTGTTTAGAATATATAATACATATATGTGACACACACGTGAAAAATTGAATTTTATTTGCTACACCACATACACATATGTAAAGAGAGACTTAATGATTCCATCCGATAAATATAACGATTAATATCTAGTTACGACTGGATAAATATATCAATAAATACTCGACGCAAGTTTTCATGGAATACTATCAATTTTTACTTTAAAGTGAGGATACAGATATTCTGACTTTTATAATCTCAATAATATTTTTCAATGGAATATCGGCTTATCAGTTGAATGTACTTAAATAGTCATTGATGTTTTTTTATTTCAAGAACGTATTTAGAATTTTATTACACTTTTAAAACGTTTATTCTTATTGGTAATTATTAAATAAGCAGTATTGTAAAAATTACACAATTTTGCCGTCTTCTTCTAAAATAATACTAAAATTTAATTTGTTTATTTATCCACAATCAAATTCTTAATTAAAATCATATATATGATGATTCCTAGGTCAAGTTCACCACCAGATGCCCATTTTTAAACCCTAAATTCTTGTATTAAACATTTTTTTCAAGAACGTCATCCGTTCAAGTTATTTCGGGATACCCATCTTTCTGGTACACCCTGTATATATATGTGTATATATGTATATATGTATATATATATATATATATATATATATATATATATATAT